AAGTGCTTGGACCTTCTGCCAAAGGATTTTTCTGGACCTGAAATTTAACACAATCAAATTCAAACCATAAAAGCCAGCCAAACTGATTCATGCAAGGCACAACTTATGGATATTCGTGCAATGATAAATATGAACAGAACACGCATGCCACAAATGTTGCAACCTATCATAGTTGTAAAGGTCATGCTATAAAATTTTGAGACATCATGTGCCTATCGGATTGTAAGACCACCTCCAAAAGAAGTACAGCAGGCCACATGGTAAATGGGTAATGGGATTTGTTGTGTCACGTGGGCAAAACAGCCCTCCAAAACCAAATTTGCTACTTGCTTGAAACACAATAGCTTCGTTGTTTTCTGTCTTGCATGGCAAATTTATTATTTTGATTGTAATAATGATCAGGCTCATGGAATTGTTCAGAGACTATTTATCATAAAGTGACATAATAGCTAAAAGGCAAAAAAAGTAAGAAAATAATGAACGTTGCTACTTCTATTGGAATGTCATATCTTAAACATAGCAAATAGAGGTGGCAAATATGCCCAAGCACAACATAAGCTTAGACAAATAACATAAGCTTAGAAAAACAAAAGTACAACTACCCCTATACTTTATCCTAACCTTGATAGTTTGACCTATCTATCCCTATACTTGAGCCTACCCTATTAATGCTCTCCAAAACTTTTTTCTTTATTAGAATCTGGTTTGGTCAAACACAATTGGGTCAGGGAATTTTGCCATCCCTAACCACAATGAAATAGGCTTATTCTTGATTTCCAAAATTTTCATCATTACAAGTACTGCCAAGTTATGCCATTCAAATAAATGCCCCAAGTCACACTGAGGGTGCACTTCACATAGATTATACCAATCAATAATATCAACTAAAAAAGGCCAGGCCACTTAAATTCAAAATGGAATTTTCAAACATTATTATATCTGAAGGAACAAAAAAGCGTGCATTAAATGATCAATTAAGACAATTACACTACAGCATTTCTTGTTCAATGCTTGCAACAATTGTAAGCATTAGATAGACCAAAACTAGATGTAAATGTGTCCTTCAAAACTAGTCGTGGATGTGTTCCATTATGTGCTATTTTCCTAGTTTTCCTGTCAAACAATTGCTTTATTTCCCAGCCAAATGATACACATGAAGAATGTAGATTCATAAGTAACATAAATGTCATCTTACATGTTCAAAAGCATAGGTAAGACCACCAATACAGAGACAAATTATCCAAAGCATAAGATTGAAATCATTTGATAATCCTACTTTTCCACCCTTACTAGGTATGACCAATCAAATGCAACATGTTTATATATTACTTGCAAAATTCAAATCATCAACACTTACCAACAAAGACAACAAAGAAAGAAAGAAAAATAGAAGTCCAACATGTTCTAACTAGAAGTTAAGCAATAATCACAATTGCACAATAACCAAATTATTTTCATGTGTGATTACAATAGTCAATGACATATGTAGCCTTCCACAAATTGGTTCTTTAACCTAACCTGAACAATTTTGTTACTTGTCATCTTATAGAATTTTCATAATTTATAGAGGTGTTTGAGATAATCTATAGAGTTGTTTGAGATAAATTTGAATTCCGATAAGAGGCCACCCTACCCAACCTGATCCGCGAGCACCCCTAATTTAAATTATTAACCTTTATGGATACAAGATATGTGGTGCCTTGCCTTGCCTCAAATGAGTTCAATGATAACTAAGGACATTACTAGATAGTAAATGATGCATTTTGTATAAGTAAATTCCCTTTATGCAGCCCTTGGGTTGGGAACAAATTCATTTGGGTGGAAAACTTTATGTTAAAAGGATCCGATGTAACCACTTTATTAGACATGATAATATCTCCAATTATTAGAAAGATGAGGAAAAATCACACCACATCCTAGATATGTAATGCAAACACTATTCAGAAAGCAAATTTACTGAACAAAAGACTATCAACAAACTCTATCAAAATGCTGTGAATCTGTCCATTACATGCAGTAAAGGCAACCAGGTGAGGAGGACTCTAAACCCATGAAGTTTTGTTATTTCAATTTACTATCCAATTAAGAAAAAAACAAATGGTTTACAAATCAATAAACTAATCTATTTTGGAAACTTCAACAATTGCAATGGAAGCATAATAGAAGTTTGACTAGCACCAATTGTTCAAAAATAAAAAAATAAAAACATGATCACTATATATCTGCATGAAGTATGCAAAATTCTGCTAGTGTAACTTTCATTTTAGTGTAAATTTGGTCTTATTTCACATGCTTTATCATCCTCTCAGTTTTTAAAAGATTTAATTCTCCACATACACCAAATACAACTAGCGTTTTATATCTACGACATATTGACATTTACAAACAGAGAGTCCCCATTTTATAATGAGTTTGATTTGAATTGGTGCACCAATTGCACATTCACATTGCTCTAATTATTGCATGAACTAAAGCATGATATACATCAAGATTCTACATCAACATCTGTATCAAAATCACTTCGTAGGTCATATTCTTTGTCTGGGTCGTCACCCTCCCTCATTAATCCATCTTCATCATCACAGATAAAGGCATCATCTGTAACACTCTTGGCTTCTACACCTCTGACAGATTGCAAAACTTCCATTGGAATAATTTCAGATTCAATATCATGTCGACGCAAAACCACATCATCACCAATAGCCATAGCATGTACGACCTCAGTGGTTTTTTCTTGTTGGAACACATCATCAAGTTCTACGTCATCCATCTCTGGTGTAACGCCCTCAAAATAACAACAATAAACCCATCAGATAAGACATGCATTTACATATAAACTAACCACATTCTTTTATTCATTAGAGTTCCATTACATATTGGTAATACAAATGAGTCATCTTTGTACCATTGACTTCTTACATCAATTGTTGTCAAATGTGGTTCTACACGCATAGTTCTACTACTACTGGTGTTAAACCATTCACATTGGAATAATATAATTCAACATCTGAACAAATAGTTCATTTCCCACACTCTGCACAAGTGTCCATAGAAGTGTATCAATTGGCCTTCATGCTTCCCTTCCATGACTAATCCACTATTCTAACTTTTGTGACGGTTGTCACGGTCAATAGTATGAAAACGGACACCATTACAAATACATCTTGAATATGTGTTCACTAAGCCACTAGGACCATTGGCTAATGACCATATCTCATCAGTTGCTTCGGGGGAAACTTGGCTCCGCAATTCATTCATCTACATGAAGAACATGTGTCATGTTATAAGCATGCACAATATTAACGTAATGTACGATTAATTGTATGCGGAGAATACTAGCTTACATGATCTTTGAACCATTTAGGGAATTCTTTGCATTGTCTGTTTTCGATGTCAAATGCACCGGCTCTTTGTTGTAACAAGTTCTTGTGCTCCCTAGTTACAAGAAATGAGATTCAACAATATTTACTAAGATAAAGACTAATCAATTTATAACTATAACATTCTAAATACGTTTGAAGGATTCATACTCTACGTTTTTTTTCCACTTCTGTGCTGTTGTGTAGGACAAACCAATAAGCCATCTCGCGTTTAGCTACAGACACATCGAACGCCCTAGTCAGTAGACCAAAGGGACGGACATTTTGAGTGAATACTGCCAACCCTGGGCCACGGTCACCCATGTCATAATTCCTTTCTGGGCAGTTAAACAATGTTTCAACTCCATCCAAATACATTGAACATAATGTTGTACATTCTTTGGAAATGTAAGCCTTGGCAATAGAATCTTCAGGATGAGCTTTGTTGGCCACAAACCCTTTTAGACGGCCAAGTAACCTAACGATCAAGTCGATGACAATGTTATACTGCAATCTTTATATCAACACTAAAGCGTTAATTAAAATTTGACACTAATAATAGGGTTGGGTTAATACCTCTCAATTGGGTACCTCCATCGATATTGCATTGGGCCTCCAAGCATAGCCTCTCGAGGCAAGTGAATTGCCAAGTGGACCATGACATCCAAAAAAAGCTGGCGGAAAAATCTTCTCAAGCTTACAAAGTATGAGTACGATTTGTTTATCCAATTTCTCCAAATCTAAACGCCTCAATGTCTTTAAACACAACTGTTTGAAGAAATTTCCCAACTCAAAAAGTGTGGTTCCAATTTCCTTATTAAGGTAGCCACGCATCCCAATGGGAAGAAGTCGTTGTATAAGGACATGACAGTCATGACTTTTGAGGCCAGATAATTTTCTAGCTTGAGTGGTCACGCAATTGGAGATATTTGCTGCATAGCCATCAGGGTGCTTAATTGATTTCAAGAAATCACAAAATCCTTCTCTCTCTTTCATAGACAATGTGTACAATACGAGAGGCTTTTCAAAGGACCCATTAGAATGCCTTTTCAAGTGTAACTCTTTACGTATTCTCATGTCCTCCAAACCTAAGCGTGCTTTGTCCGTGTCCTTGTTCTTTCCATCTATGCTCAAAAGTGTCCCAACGACATTGTCACATATATTCTTTTCAATATGCATGACATCAAGGTTGTGTCGAAGCTTCAACGTTTTCCAATAGGGAAAGTCAAACATAATGCTTCTCTTGGTCCAATTCAAATTTTGATTTTCATTCCTTTGTCATTTTTGATTTTGTGGGTGCTTTCCATACTGCTTGTAAGTCCCAGAATTAATTTGCTCTAGTATTTGTTCCCCCGATAAGTCCAAAGGTTTGGATCTATGCTCCATTTGACCGTTAAAGAGCTTACTTGTTCGCCAAGTGTGGTTCTTAGGCAAGTAGCGATGAGCACCCATGTACCCTATTTTACTTCGCAAACCCTGGGACGATGCATTATTGTTACAATTAGGGCAAGCCAAGTAATTCTTTGTACTCCACCCAGACATGTTACCATATGCAGGGAAGTCATTTATGGTCCACATTACCGCCGCACGCATTCTAAAAATTTGCCCGTTCGATGCATCATATGTTTGCACACTATGCTCTCACAAATTCTTCAATTCTTCTATTAATGGTTGCAAGTAAACGTCAATGTCTCTTTCAAGTGCCGAACGTCTCGGAATAAGCAATGACATCATGCAAAATGGTTTTTTCATACACTTCCACGATGGGAGATTGTAAGGCATTAAGATTACGGGCCACATACTATATGATGTGCTCATATTTCCAAATGGATTGAAACTATCTATTGCCAGCCCTAGCCTTACATTTCGAGAGTCATCAGAAAACGTCGAATGTTGCTTATCAAAGTCTTTCCATGCTTCACCATCGACTGGATGCCTTAATATGTCATCATCCACACGCTTCTCATTGTGCCATCTCATATCTGTGGCTGTTTTTTTGGACATATACAGCCTTTTTAACCTCGGTGTCAAAGAAAAATACCGCAAGACCTTGTGTGGAATCTTTTTACCACCATTATTGTTCAACTTGTATCTACGCGCGTCACATGTAGGGCATTTCTCCAAATTTGCACTCTCCTTCCAAAATAGTGCACAATCATTCTTGCACGAATGAATTGTTTCATATCCCAAATCCAAGTCACGTAAGAACTTCTTAGCATCATACAGTGTCCATGGAATAGTTTGATCACATTTTGGTAGAATGTCCTTGAATACCTGCATAACCATATCGAATGACTTGTTGCTTCATTTGTTATACACCTTCACATGAAGCATCTTAATGATAAATGATAACACAGAGAACTTTTCACATGTCGGGTAAACTTTGCATTGTGCATCTTCGAATAACTTAATGAACTTATGCAAATCCTCCCTCTCCAAACTATTAGGTTCCTCGTCGGTATGATCATCCATAAGACCATTCACGTAAATTTCTTCCAACACAATAGGCAATTCACCCATGATCGAATCATCGATATCTGTCATACATTCACCACTACCTCCACTTTGGTCATTTGATACACCAGGATAAGACACGGGAACTTGTTCCCTGTGGTGCACCCAAGTTATATACGAAGATGCCATTCCTCTTCGGATTAAGTGCATCCACACAACTTGCCTGCTATATTTTGTGCCATTAATGCAATTGACACACGGACACCTAATTTCATCCTCTACGCCTAAATTTGCCATAGCAAAATCAAGGAATGACTTCACTCCTTGTTGATACTCTTTACTTGTCAACCTATTATTTATCATCATCCAACTCTTGTCCATTTTTTGTCACCTATAACTCAAGCAAAGATTAATTGAGGAACAAATGAGAACACGTGTTTTAAGTTGAGATAGATTATCTTGTTTTTTCATTCACTATGTGGCTTGTCACATAAATCTCTTTTAGGGTGGGATCAAATGAAACGATTTGTACCATGAGGGGCCTGTCTTTCCGTAACACCTAAGTGAACGGTTAACATATGTATGAAGTTCTTATAAGTACCAATATATATATATATATATATATATCCATCCATGGCCAGAAAAAAGAAATAAAAGAAATAAAAAATTGTCTATTGCCAATGTCGGAAGTCTGATAATTTTGTCATATCATTAGAATACAGTAGGCATATAAGCCTCTAACTCCAAAATTGTCTATATAGCCAATGTCGGGACTTTGATGATCTTGTCATATAATTAGAATACATTAAGCATATAAACATCTAACTTAATTTGAGCATTCATAATCATTACATAGATAAGTATTCCAGCAAAACTATTGAATGAATAAAGAAACAAATATAATTCAGTCTATGCTTTACATATATACATATACATCCTTTAATACATAATAAACGATAAGTGTGTGTATCAGCATATATAACACCATCACATGCTCGTCATGTTCGTGTCATGCTTATTTAAAGCTGACCAGATAAACAGACGTGTTTCTTGTCAATAAGTAGGAAAGAAATTGTCACACGGAAGCTCAATTCAATTTGTTAAACGCAGGGTAACAACACAGACATGGTTTCAAATTTCAAACAAGCAAAATGTTCAAAGTATGGTCTTTTCTCAACCAAGTGAAACAAAAAAAAGAAAGTAATCCAAAACTTAAGGCAGCAAACGTTTTGTCCAAATACATATAAAATTGAATGTTATTATTCTTCTTTTCAATACCTTATGGTCCTTATAGTTTATATTTAATTAAACATTCAGAATCAAACTAAGAAGTAACACTCTCAAAAATAATTACCATCTACTGAGAACTTAATATACTGTCAACTTATTGCTACTTGTTCTATGATGGAGATGATCAAATCAACAAAGGTTCCTATCCGACTTATGTTGAATACAGTCTAGTCATAGTTATGTTGCAAGAAGAGTTCATTGATGTCCTTTCGTTGCTACTCAAAGAATAAAATATGAGTAAATGAGAGATTGCAAACAATTTCCACAGAGAGAGAGAGAGAGAGAGAGGGAAAAGTTACCTATAGTTGTGAAGAGTGCTCTGCAGTTGCTGATGGAATTATTGTCGTTGGAACTGGAACTGCCAAGCTGGTTTGTACAAGAAAATGTTTCCTACCAAAAATGAAATAGCATTTCCTTAGCTAATTTCATAAATATACTCACATTATACTAGAATTTTCGATAATGTTTTATGATCAACAGAGGTCAATGGACTATAAGATTGAGCCGCATCATAATCAACACAAGATTTCACCCATTTAGCTAAAATTGAATTAGAAACAACATCCAAATACAGAAGCTAAAATTGCAATATAGATATACTCAATCTCCTCCACCACAACCCTAGCCACATCCACATCCACATCCACATCAGTTACAAGCAAACCCATCAGTTACCACACTTCAATTAATATATGAAAAACAAATTAACATCTCCACAGAAAATGAAGGGAATTTAAACTCAAATTCTCATTAAAATGGCAGAAAATGCAAAACCCATCAAGAAATGGACTCAAAATTCACATAAAAGTAAAAGAAATAGCAAAACAAGTATGGATTAGAAACCCATGAAATGCCTATGCATATGCAGGCAAGGAAAGGGGCTGCTACCTACATTCATCCACCAAAGTCAAAAAAATTCTCCTCAGACATATTGCCAACTTAAATCTGAACATGAAATTTGATGTATCGTGATCTCCTTTAAGTTTCAATAGAAAAGGCACCAACATCGTGAAAAAGTTGGATAACTAGCAGCAGGGAGAGGGAGAGAGAGAGAGAGAGAAAAAAAAATAGCAACTTGCACCAGTGTAAAATATCATTATTAGCCCGCAATAATCTTAAACTCTTTCGTTGGACCTTACTTCGAACCAAGCCCATCGCATGGGTCAACTGCCATGCCCATCATGCTTCTGTAATATAAGTCATATAGCACTCCAATCTAGAGAATTTTTTTATGTTTTAGATTTCTATAAGAAAAGGTTTAGATTATGGATCGAACAGCTAGGTATATCCACATACATGTTTGCCGAGAGAAAGGAATTATATGTTGGTGAACTATTTGCTAACATTAGTAATGTGTTATAAAATGGAATTTCAATAAATGAAAAAATGAAACTGACATTATGTATGCATGCATAATAAAAGTAGAAAAATTCAATGAATTTAACAAATTATAAGACTTGAGGCTTTAAATGGCAGAGCATTATAGTTGTTGGTAGCCTCAAATTCTAAAGATTGATACTCAAATAGATATGGCAAGTCCTACAATAAAAATCCATTATATATCATTCTCAATCCAAATTGGAGGGCTCTTTGGATTTCTGAGCATAGTCTAGACAAGCAAGAAATTACTATTAGTTCAGTTCTAATTTCAATAACATCTCAGCCCAAGCATTGCCCTAATTTTTAATTTCAACCACATTTCAATAACAATGCCCTAATTTTTAGCATTTTGTATATGATTTATGTGTATATATGTATATGTATGTATGTATGTGTGTGTGTGTGTGTGTGTAAACAGAGACAGAGAAAGAGAGAGGGAGACAGTGAGAAGGAGACAGAGAAATCGAGAGGGAGATACAGAGAGAGGGAAAGACAGATATGAAATAGAGGACATACCTGGGAGGGAGCCAAAACGATGATCCAACAACCCCTGCGGTGATAGCGATGGAGACAAAGCTATAGAGAAGAGGGCAGATGCGTGAGTGAGACGTAGTCACAGAGGTGTGGGTGTACCAGTGTATAATCGATTATATATGGGATCAAGGTTGTGTATATATGATTTGTGTGTGTGTATATATGTATATATATATGCATGTATGTGTGTGTGTGTGTAAACAACGAGAGAGAGAAAGAGGGAAACCGAGAGGCCTCTGTGAGGAGGAGACAGAAATCGAGAGGGAGATACAGAGAGAGAGAGAGAGAGGTGAAATAGAGGACATACTTGGGAGGGAGACAAAGTGATGATCCAGCAACCCTTGCGGTGATGGCGATGGAGACAGAGCAGTGACAGAAGCGGGAGTGAGAGAGGGAGGGAAATGGACTTCTATTGCAATAAAAATAAAACTTTTTACCAATTTATTCCCGACCAAAATTCAAATTTGGTCGCTAATGTTTTTAATATTCCCTCCTGAATTTTTTGCCATGTTTGGCTACTGAATTATAGTTGGTAAAGATTTTAGATTTAGCGACCAAAATAAAAATAGTCGCCCAAAACGTTATTTTACACGACTAAAACATTTTAGTAACCAAAAATGAATTAATAATATCTAAAGACTATGCAATTAGCGACCAATATCATTTTTAGTCATCCAAAATGATATTTTTAACAACTAACATGTAATTAGTCACCAAAAGTAAAGACAATACCGGCTAAATGTATTTTTACCGACCAAAAAGTTTTAGTAGCTAATGCATGTACCTTTGGCAACTAAATATTGTTTAGTAGCTAATGTGTCTACCATTGGCGACAAACAAATTTTTAGTAGCTAATGTGTATACCTTTGGTGACTAAATTTAGTTTAGTCGGCAAAATTAGTCGCCGAATGTATTGTTTCTTATAGTGTAGTCAATGAAATTATACTGTCATGACCTGAACCCGCTCCTATGGGTTAAGGACATAACCGGCCAGTAATCTAGAGATTACCTACGGCCTCAAACCAAATAAGACATAACTCATCAGAGTAAAGGGGCCAAACGGAAGCAAATTTAAAACTTTGTCCATAGAGCTATGCTTATATGCACATCATAACATTTCACATAGGTATTCGTCAATAACTCACATCAGAGGGAAGTTAACATATAAACTGTACACACCGGATAATTTAAGTCTAAGTCAGTCAAACCCAAAGTTTATATACAAAAGTAATCCAATATTTTCGCCAACATAACAAAACTATGACAAAAGAACAAAAGAGGCGAGGACAAGTCTCGTGCGTGAGACGTTGGACTGACTCTTCAAAACTTTGACTGTTTCTCACATATTTCACCAGGGCTGCGTTTGGATGTTTCCTGGCTCACTTACATAGACAAGAATGAGCGTGAGCGAAAGCCCAGTGAATAATATCAAATAAGGAAGATATATGAACAATCTTTGAAACAGTTACATCAGACGGCCTTAGGCCCAATTCATGTTTCTATTTAGTGTATCACTCGACTAAAGTTCCAGACGTGTCAAACGGCCTCGGGCCCAATTAACTCATACCCGACGGCCTTTGGCCCAACCGTTCCTATCCAACGGCCTTTGGCCTAATCGACTTGAGGCTTTAAATGGCAGAGCATTATAGTTGTTGGTAGCCTCAAATTCTAAAGATTGATACTCAAATAGATATGGCAAGTCCTACAATAAAAATCCATTATATATCATTCTCAATCCAAATTGGAGGGCTCTTTGGATTTCTGAGCATAGTCTAGACAAGCAAGAAATTACTATTAGTTCAGTTCTAATTTCAATAACATCTCAGCCCAAGCATTGCCCTAATTTTTAATTTCAACCACATTTCAATAACAATGCCCTAAGTTTTAGCATTTTCTATATGATTTATGTGTATATATGTATATGTATGTATGTATGTGTGTGTGCGTAAATAGAGACAGAGAAAGAGAGAGGGAGACAGTGAGAAGGAGACAGAGAAATCGAGAGGGAGATACAGAGAGAGGGAAAGACAGATACGAAATAGAGGACATACCTGGGAGGGAGCCAAAACGATGATCCAACAACCCCTGCGGTGATAGCGATGGAGACAAAGCTATAGAGAAGAGGGCAGATGCGTGAGTGAGACGTAGTCACAGAGGTGTGGGTGTACCAGTGTATA